TAATAGATGAAAAATGATAATAATATCAGTTGAAATGTAAATGCATTTATGTGTGAATGTGACTGTGCACGTGTGTATATATGACCACATATACGTGTAAGTGCAGATCTGTGCATATGTGGTATAGCTATGTGTTTGATGTTATATAATCTGGGAGAGTGTAAATGAAATTAAAGGGCCTAAGGTCCTTGTATTGAACTTGAGTAAACTAAAGGTAAAGATTACTTGCCAAATTAGAAGTATGAAAAAAATACAGATAAGACTTTGTAGAATACATATCAGTAAAATTCACAGAAAGCCCACAAAGATTTTTACTAGAAGTTTGCTACAGATAGCACTTTTAGCTTGATATCAGAGGGGCTGAGATGATTCAAAATGGAGAAAGGTCTTTGGGCCCCCAAATTTCTATGGATAGAAAGTAGGCTAAGAAAGACACTTGGTTGCAAAGATGATTCATTTCTTTCTGAAAAAGAAAAATGTCTCAGAGGGTGAAGCTAAAAGTCCAGCAGGTGAATTGAGAGCCATCGAGAACAATGGGCTTTGAATAACTACTTTTCTCTTTCATTTTGACCGCATTTGGATTTTTTGAATGGTGTAAAATATGGTACAGTGTTCTTTTTCTTCTCTAAGGAAGGCAAGCGTCCCCAAAGCGTGCACTATATAGTCCATTCTGTTGTCTCTGATTTGTGCTGAGAATGTCAAAAGTCTCGACACAGACAGGCCTACTGGTTCTGAATTCCCTGCTTCATTAATTTCGTTTCCTGATGCTTTAAAATTCTAATGTAGTTCAATTACTGTTTCTTTGTAATAATTTCACAAACTGGTCTTCTTTCTTTTCAATTCTGTATAGCTTTGGAGATTGGTAAATAATGTCTCCAAAAAACATTACATACACTTAATTATTGATACAATATATTGATAGATTCTGTTGAGGGTCTTGGGGTCTTTACAATGTGAATTGATATGACCAGTGAACCCAGTGAACGTCTATGTTGTACTGAGCAACACTATAGCCTTTCATAACTTCCAGTTTTGTCTTCTCTACAGAATACACACTTTTCTCAGTTACTTTATACTTAATTGATAAGATGCACTGTAAGCTTTTAAAATTTGAATATGAAGATATGGTGGGATATGGCATAATGCAAAATTGTTGCACAAAATGTTTGCAGCCATGTGCTCTGCCAAGAGAAGGGGACCCAGGAAGACCTCCCTCCAAAGGTCATATTCCCGTGAGGGTTCTTTGCAAGGGCATCAG